GGAGTTGGCAGTTGTCATGTGAAGGCCAGAAGTTTCAGAGCAGGGTGGCCACTGTGAGGCTGACAGCTGCCACTGAGGCCCCATCAGACCGTCTCAGAGTTCAGCTTGGTGGTCATTTTTCCAACACTATGGTCGTGCAAGGCATGCTGAAGTTTTCGCTCTGAGAACTGTGAATAATAAATTCTAATTTTCTTCTGCATTCTGGTCTCCTGAATATTATTTACTGTGTGCCACACAAAAGACCGCCATACTTTAATAAATGCATCATGGAATAATTTTCAATAAAAGGGATTGTGCATTTTGCTTTTTTCTTACTAGTTTTGTTGATAAAAAGGTTATAGGTCCAAGATGGAGTCACTTGTGCTAAGGTCCAAGTCATCAAACCCAGATTTAATATCTAACATAACCAGTTTCAACTCCTCCCAAGAATGTAATTTTAATCAGTCTGGAATTTCTGGTCAAACTAATCAAGGTAATCTGCCTGACAGATCCCTCTCATCCCTCAGGAAAAGTGGCATTGCTTGACACAATCTTGCTTACTTACCTAGCCCTCTGCCTTCCATTTCTTACAGCTTTTTGGAGCTCCTTTCTCCTTGCTAGATGAGATGCTACCCAGTTCATGAGTCACTTAATAAAGTTAATTAGCTCTTCAAATTTACTTGGATGAAGTTTATTTTTTAACAGATTACATTTCTTTATGCATCTGGTGAATTGACTCCCCAGGAACTGGACTCATCACTACATCCATTGGCAAGTTTTACCTTTAGTAACTGACAACAGCGCAGACATTGTTCCATACCATGAGTGACCACATGGTCACTGACCAGGGCACTCTCCTTCAACAATGGTTAGTCAGGCTCCTCAGAGCCCTCTTTTGGACTAGGTCTCATGCCTTGGCCTGCAAAATCCTACTAAGATTCCTTTTTTTAAAAAAAAGATTATTTATTTATTTATACAAGCACTGGGTACAGTCAGAAGTGCAGGAGGGTGAGAGAATTCACCAGAGCCAGAGCGGGGAACAGAACAGACAGACTGACGAAATACACTGCTGAGGGGAGCAGCGGGCGCAGCAGGAGAGATCTGTCTCGCCATGGGGGACCCTCACCAGCTGGCCAGGATCGAACCGGTGCTGCAGAGGCTGCAGGCAGCTTCACAGCCCAGCGCTCAACCGCTGCACCACCAGGGGAGGCCCCCTACTAAGATTCTTAAAGAAAATTCCTCCATCCTTGAAATCCAATCAAATTCTTCTTCCCCTACCCTAAACATAGTCACATTCCTCTTTCCCCTCCTTGATACCCAGCCAAATTCCTCTTCGTAATTTCACATCCACTCTGCCCATTGGCGGCAAGTGGCTACTTGCCTCTGTTGTATATGGAGTTTAATTCAAGCTTTCCCCCCTACTGAGTTAAATAAAGTCTTCCTTGCTGTTTTTTAACAAGAGTCTAGACAATTTGTCTTTGGCACGATTGAGGAATCCTCATCCCTTACTTATCCATCCTTTTTGATACTGAATCACATAGTCCCATGAGTCAGGTATTGTAGCAAATCCCACATTTTTTGACACCAAATGCTGTGCAATATCAAACCCCAATTTCTCAACTTCATGACACCAGCGTGCATCCTACAATTCAATGCTGTTCCGATACAAATAAGTGATTAGGGCAGGGTTGCAGGATAAAAGGTTATGTGAACATTAAAACACAGAAACCCTATTTAAATATGGTACAGAAGCTAGAAAGGATGCCCACACATGCATAAATCAGCAAGCTACAAGATCCAACACACCTTGCATCTCCCAAAGGAAGTGATGCCGTTTTCCCTTCCACTAGAAGTAAGTGGGGGGGGGGGCTCCAGACATTATACAGGGTATTGTTGGCCTTGGATTTAGGGACATGCACATGGACCTTGCCAGGAACACACTCTCCAATCTGCCCTCTTTTCTGTCATTTGTTCCCAAATAAACTCATTTTGTTGTCAGAATAACTGAATGCATTTTGTCTGAGGTCAATAGCTAATATATAAAAGTGAATTTCTTTCCTATAACCAGTAATGAACAGTTGAAATTTGAAATTAAAAACACAGTATCACTTACATTAGCACAAAAAAAAATACTTAGATGTGTACAAGATCTCCATGAGGAAAATCTATGTGAAAGAAATTAAATATATAAATAAATGTAGAGATACCCCATGCTCCTGGGTAGGAAAACACAAATTGACATGATGACAATTCTCTTCAACTTGACCTACAGATTCAATACACTCCCAATCAACTCATACCATTTGTGGCAACATGGATGGAGCTGGAAGGGATTATGCTAAGTGAAAAAGTCAGAAAGAAAAAGAGAAATATCAAATGGTTTCACTTACATGTGGAATATAGAGAAACTGAAGAAAGGTTTAGGAAAAAAGACAAAACTTGCAAGCTGACCATAGATCTGAGGCATCCAGAAGCTAGAAAGGGAGGGGGGAGGGAGAGGAATAAAAACAGGGGAGGGATGAGCACAAGGGACTGTGTTGATGGTTCACGGGTGGTTCGGTGGTAGGAGAACTATGGGACTAAACCTGAGAGGGAGAAATCAAACACTGTCCAAAAATGAACAATGATGTAAGAAAATAAATAAATAAATTTAATAAATTTTAAAAATAAAGGATGAAAATTAAAAAAGGATTATCCAATACTTGGGACTAAAACAAACCAAAAAAATTTACAGCAAACTATTTTGTAGATATCAACAAAAAGATTGTGAAGTTCATATGGAAAAGTAACAGACCAGAAAAACCAACACAATACTAAGGAAAAATATAAGTCAGAGGACTGAAAATAATTCAACTTTAAAACTTACTATAAAGCTAGACTAATCAGGACAGAATAGTATCAGCAAAAGAATAGACAAATATATCAGTGGGACAGAACAAACAGCAAGGAAACAAACCCACACAAATCTAGTCAATTAATCTTTGACAAGGGGACAAAGACAATTCATTAGAGAAATGGCAGCCTTTTCAACAAATAATGCTGAAACAGCTGGACATTCATGTACAAAAAAAGTAAAAAGAATCTAGGTATGATCCTTAACCTTTCAAAAGAACTCTAAATGAACTGTATACTTATAGGCAAACTATAAAACTTGTAAATGGTAACAGGAGAAAAGTGATCTTGGTTTTGGTGATGTTTTTAAATACAATACATCAAGTACATTCATGAAAGAAAAATTTTAAGTTTTAGTTAAAATTAAAAACTATTGTGTGAAACAGTTTTTATTTCACAGAAATACTCTGTTAAGAGAATAAAGAAACAAGCCACAGAATGGAAGAAAATATTTGCAAAACACAGTTGATGAAAGATTTGCACTCAAAATATACAAAGAACACATAACACTCAACCACAAGAAAACAAACCCACCGAAAGAAGGGCCTAAAAGGACAAAATGTCTGAACAGACACTTGACAAAAGATGATACACTGATGGCAAATAAGCATCTAAAAATATATTCAACATAATTTTTCATTAGGGAGATGCAAATTAAAACATTGAGATGCTATTACATACCTATTAGAATAATGAAATACAAAAATCTGACAATATCAAACACCGGCAAGGATATGGAGCAACTGGAATGCTCATTAATTTCTGGTAGGAACACAAAATGGTGAAAACTCTGGAAGACACGGTGGCAATTTCTTATAATGCTTAACAATCTTACCATATGACCCAGCAACTATACTCCTAGGTATTTATCCAAATGAATTAACAACTTATATCCTCACAAAACCTGAACATAAGTGATTATAACATCTTTATTCATAATCATCAAATGCTGGAAACAACAAAGATCTCCTCTGTAAGCAAACTGTGGCATAGCCATACAATGGAATATTATTCAGTGATTAAAAAAATACATTATCAAGCCATTAAAAGACAGCAAGGAACCTTAAATGCAAGCTGCTAAGTGAAAGAAGTCCATCTAAAGAGGCTAGATATGATCTCAACTGTACGGCATTTTAATTAAGGCAAAACTATAGAGACAGTCAAGTATCAGTGCTTGAGAGAGGTTTAGTTGGAGAGAGAAGGACGAATAGCTGAAGCACAAGTAAAACTATTGTGTATGAAACTATAATGGTGGATATGTCATTATACATTTGTCAAAACCCAGATGTACAAAACAAAGAGTGTACAACACAAAGATGGAACATTACTGTAAACTATAGACTATTATTAATAATAATGTATCGATAGTGGTTCATTAATTCCAACAAATGTACCACATCAAAATGTGAGATGTGAATAATAGGGGAAACTGCTCCACAGAAGGGGGCTTTAAAACAGATGGAACTTTGTGTATTATCTTTGTGTATCTAGATTATTCTGTAAATCTAAAACGGTGCTAAAAAATCAAATCAATTCATTGCTTTAAATGCCCCCTTAACATATATTCCAGTAATTACACTCACTTGCATTTATTTATTCCACACAAAATTCTTACACAGTCAGAGCACCTTTTTCCGTAACAGGCAAAAACTGGAAACAACTAAAATGTCCTTTCAACTAATGACTCCTTAAAGAAACTGAACTACGGATCTACCCTGGAATACTATGCAGCAATAAAAAGGCGCAAACTATGCATGTGCAAAACAACTTGGGTGAATCTCAGAGAATTACACTGAGCAAAAAAAGTCAATCCCAAAAGGTTACATATGGTATGATTCCATGGATATAACATTCTTAAAATGACAAAATTATAGAATTGGAGCACAGATTAGTGGTTGCCAGAGGTAAAGGCCATGGGAAGGAAGTAGTTGTGGCTATTAGAGAGCAACATGAGGGGTCCATGTGGTAATGGAAACATCCTGGGTATGATATCATACCAAGGTTTTGCAAGATGTTAAAACTGGGTGAAACCGGGTACACTGCATGTGAATCTACAATTACTGTATCTCAAAATTAAGACTTATCTAAAAAGATAAAAGAAAAAATGGGGAAAAATTCCTCCTCCTTACCTCAAATGATCTGTCAGTTTGTCCTGGAACCAGGACAAGGAACCTCTGAGGTGATTTCCCATTAGCTGGCATGTTCACCCTGGGTCTCAATCCACCTTCCAAAGCTGGAGGGGCGTCTGTACATGGACTGGAGTCAGAATGAATGGAAGATCCTGCAGCCTCCAGTAAGGAGAAAGCTCAACAGCTCCACAGAGACACCAAGAAATCCTAAAAGGACAGTATCCATGTCATTAGTGACATTGCATTCACCCTCAGAAGTTTAGCAAGCCCCACTTTAATTATGAGTCAGGATGAATTATGGAAATGATCACATTTGGGGTCAAATTAATGAGTTCAGTGTCCTTTATATCTTGCGTGGATCCAGGAGGCTTCCTTACCCAGCTCATGCTCAATTCCAGGTTTAAGGCAGAGCTGTGTTTAGGACAAGGGTGGAACCAAGGCAATGAATGGTGCTGAAGCCCCATGGGGCTGTGCAGGGTTCAGAATTGCCCATGGTACCTGGTGGGTTGTGGAGGCAAGAAACCTGGAAATCTGATAATTTGAATAAAAGAGATCTGTTTTGCCCTCTTTAATAATTTCATCATTCTAGGGTGAAAAAATTCCTTTCTACGGGGAAGCTTTTAACCTCTTTCCAGAAGATGGTTTAATATTAACAATATTGTTCAATGACTTGGGTGGTGGGACATGCTGTAATTAACTTACACCCAAAATAAATTTGACATAATTCAGTAGTCAGTACTAATGAAAACTCAAACTAAAATTAGGCAAGAAGTACATATCACCAAAATCATTTAGAAACATAGCCCTAAAATACCATGCTATAAAGTAAAATGAGAGAGTAGCTCTCTTTTCCTCCCTGGCTGCCAGAGGACCAGTGTCATCAAGAATGACACAGTAACTATCTGGCCCAGGAAGTTCACGACCAACCGTTTCCCCAGAAAAACAAATGGTCACTGACGTCCTTCACTCTGGGAAGGCAACAATACCAAGACAGAAAATTGGGGAAAACTAGCTAAAATGTACAAGACCACCCCAAAGTCATCTTTGTATCTGGATTCAGAACCCACATTGGAGGTGGCAAGACATCTCTGGCTTTGGCATGATTTAAGAGTCTTTGGATGACGCAAAGAAATACGAACCCATAGACTTGCAAGACATGGCTGTAAGAGAAGAAAAAGACGTCAAGAAAACAGCGACCCCACCGACTGGGAGAAAATTTTTGCACACAACACTAATGATAAAGGACTGATCACAAAAATCTACAAAGAGCTGACGAGATTCAACAAAAACAAAGAAAATAAACAGTCAAAAAATGGGCAGAAGAGCTAAAAAGAAACTTCTCCAAAGAGGAAATACAAATGGCCAACAGGCATATGAAAAAATGTTCAACATCACTTGTAATCAGGGAAATGCAAATCAAAACTACCATGAGATACCATCTTACACCAGTGAGAATGGCACATATTAAAAAAAAAAACTAGCAACAAATGTTGGCGAGGATGTGGAGAAAAAGGAACTCTCCTGCACTGCTGGTGGGAGTGCAAACTGGTCAACCACTATGGGAAGCTGTGGGAGATTCCTCAACCTGCTAAAGATAGAGCTTCCATATGATCCAGCAATTCCACTCCTAGGTATTTACCAAAGGACACAGAAACATCAATTCCAAGGAGCATCTGCACCCCTATGTTTATAGCAGCACTATTTACAATAGCTAAGCTTTGGAAACAACCCAAATGCCCAAAAATAGATGACTGGATCAAGAAGATGTGGTACATATATACCATGGAATATTACTCAGCATTCAAAAAGGATAAACACATGCAATTTGCAGCAACATGGATGGCGCTGGAAGGGATCATGCTTAGCGAAATAAGCCAGAAAGAAAAAGAAAAATACCGGATGGTCTCACTCATAGCAGGAATCTAGAAAACCTAAATAAGGGACCAGGAAAAAGAATAACTATAAGAAAGGAAAATCAAAATCAACAAGCAACTATGAACCACAGACACACTATTGGGGGGGCGGGGAAAGGAGGAATTGGGGTCAAAATAAGGGGGTTGCACTTGTATGGGGAATATAAAAATAAAATTAAAAAAAAAAGAAAACAGTGAAAGGAACGTAAGAACAGAATGAAGATGGAGGGACTGCCAAGGCCAGCATGGGTGCTGGCAAAATGTGGCAAGATTGGACAAGACAAGTAGTTTCTGCAGTGACTATCTGTGGCGATTGTGCAGATTTTTCATGAGAGTATTAATAAAAAAACCTTTTATGTCTGAAAAAAAGTTAAATTATAGAGCTAGTGTCATTAAAATTAACAAGATACAGAAGGCTACTATAACTCAAAATTGTTTTGCTGGTTCTGGCTCACAAAATTGAAGATGAAATAATCAGAACAATCACTGCAAAGAAACTAAAATGACATTTTCTTTGCCAATGAAATGATTTTATACATAGAAAACCTACTAGGCTCGATAAGAATTCAGAGTAAATTGATAAGGGGCTAGATACAAGAGAAAATTATAGTTTTCCCTCTGTAACAGCAATGATGAGATGCGAACAGGGAAAATCCTTTAGTAATGATAGCAAAAAATATACAAAATACACAAAGTTCTTTATTGAGGTAATATGATTTAGGAGAATAGGTTTACACCTTTTCACTCCTCAGATGTGTGATACCACACCAAAATAAACTTTTTAAGGAGTCAGACCTATATGATTGAAAAAGTTTTTTTTTAAAAATTACAAATATAAAAGTCACATATACACCATATCCCTGGATAAGAAGATTTCATAAAAATGTCAACTCTCCCAATAAGATGGTGTATATAAAATTTTGGGGATGCAGTTAAAGAGATTCACAAAAGGAAATTCATGTTTTTAATTTTTTTAACAAAGCAGAAAGGCTGAACATTGACATATTAACATCCAAATTTAGAAGCTAGGTAAAGAGAAAATAGTACAGAAGAGCAAAAATTAAGGAAATAGAAAACAAGGGTACATCAAAGAGGATCAACAAGAGCAAGAGTTGGTTGTTTGTAAAGCCTAATAAAGTTAGCACACCTCTGGGGAGTCTGATCAAGGGGGAAAAAATTAAACACGTACAATTAAGACTTTACAAAAAAGATGCAGTAAGGAATCTTAAAAACTGAACCCCCCCCCCCAGAAGCCGCTATCCCTGACCCGTATTGACAGCAATTCACACTAGGTTCTTTAATTCCTCACCAACTGACCCCATAGACTGACAATGTATCTAGCATTCCCCAAAACCAACAAAGCCATCACCTCTAAATCACCATAGGGACAGTCACGCCTTAAACCCTCGTGCACACGCATTTATCGCGCGCGCCAACAAGACTTAAACAGCCTCAAAGGGCCACTTCCGTTTCCTGTCCTCACCCCTGACACTGGTTTTGGTTTTGCACATGATAATGAGGGCTGTGAAGCTGTCTACTCACTCTGAGCAAGGTGCAGTTACGGATCGGTGGAGACTTTGTCCAGGAGTGGTGTAGTCGGGCGAGGAACATGGCTGCGCCGAAGCGTTCTCCTATGGGGGCCGCCATTTTAGCATCTATTCCGTACAGTGGGCTGTTCCACAGACGGAGGGGGCAGGGGGTGATGGTATAAACCTTCGAAAGGCAAGCTTCTAAGAGGGGCTGGTCTTTGGAATTAGGTTCTGTAGGTCTGTATAAAGTTTACAGAAGCAGAGATGCCAACTCCTCCATCCTGGGGGCAGAGGGGAGATGTGCCTTGATCTTCAAGGGAGATACCACGTGGGAGAGGGGGCGGTGAGTCAGGGTTACAGTTCCTCCTCCCCACCAGAAGACACTGGAAGAAATTAGGGTGATACCGTGCCCCTCCTGACTAATACCACGGGGCAAGAGAGGAGGAGTCTGGGCTGTACAATCTTCTCCTGGGAAGAGGGGAGAAAAGTTAGAATGGTAGGATGTCTTCCTGATGTAGTATATGTAGTCTGTAGGAGACATGAATCCCCTTTAAGCTCTATTATCTCTTACCCCACTAAATGATAGTAACTAGGAATACTACTACTGCTACTGCTACTACCCCTGATGATGATGATGATGATGATGATGATGATGATGATGATGATGATGGTGGTGGTGGTGATAATAGTCTTTGATACGGACAACTAATGTTTGTCAGTAAATTATGATGAAAACACTTCTCCAAGACGTGCCCCAACTCCTGCTGTCAACCAGATTCTAGCCACTTTGCCTCTCTTATATGGACATTCAGGAGCTGTTACTGATGCTTGAAAGTGAAGAAGAGAATTCAGAGTGTTCTTTATCTCTGTGCTCCTAAGCCTCCTTCAAAATCTAGTCCATGTATACCTTCCGGTAGGGAGACTTCTCAGACAAGAAGCAAGGGCTCTTTTCTCTATTGAAGGAATTTCAAACTCAGCAATTAGGACCTGACTAAGTTCAGGTATGGATTGTTGGGTACCCTAAGGACATTAAAATGCTCTCTCTGGGGGCCTCCCCGGTGGCGCAGCGGTTGAGCGCTGGGTTGCGAAGCTGCCCGCGGCCTCTGCGGCGCCGGTTCGATCCCCGGCTGCTCCCCGGCCACCGGAGGAGGGTCCCACATGGCGCGCAGACCTCTCCTGCCGCCCGCTGCTCCCCTCAGCAGTGTACTTCGGTCCTTCTGCCTGCTCTGCTCCCCGCTCTGGCTCTGGTGAATTCTCTCGCCCTCCCGCGCTTCTGACTGTACCCAGTGCATGTATAAACAAAACAAACAAAGAAACCAGCAAACAAATAAATAAAGCATGCCTCTATAAAAAAAAAAAAATAAATAAAAAAAATAAAATAAAATGCTCTCTCTGGGCCTCATCTCAACAACCTGGGGAGTTGAGTGTCACTCACTTAGAGTATCCCATTTTCTCTGTCTCCGCTATTGTATATGTGAATTAAATGGAAAACAAATCGGCATATGTGAAAACATTAATGTGACATTCCCATTTCTCCTCTCTGCTTCAGATCTCAACTACTAGACCATCATTAAATTTTCTTCCATCAATGTTCATTTGATTAGACCTCCAAAGCAGACCTCTGTTACAGATGCCTGGGTTCAAGTTCAAACCACAGGGGAAATGATGCTTGTAGAGTAACAGAGACCCAAGTTCAAGAACTGAACCTGAGATTCATGGAAGATAGTTCATTCTTGATAGACTGCTTACAGGCCTTGGGTTGTAGGCTGTAAAACAAGATGGTGATTTCTGACAGAATCATCAACTTTGGTTTTTAGATCAAACCAGGGAAATTGATGATGGAAAAGTTAATCTTTTCCTAGGCTAGCCTCAGCTCACTACAACTCCTGATGGCAACATGAGGAGAGACCCTGAGGCAGAAACCCATTTGGGGGAGAGGGGTTGCCATTCAGCCAAGCTACTGTTACCGAACGCCGGCCTCAGTTTCCCTCAGCCAATAAAAGGAAACTAAGTTTGAGGAAAAGGAAAGCGGTTTTATTTGTCGACAAATGAGGAGGGAGGCAGACTCATGTCCGAAAAACCACCGTCCTGCTCTTTGGCAGTGGGCAGGGTATTTATACAGGGGGAGATGGGTAGGCATCCGCGAAGGGGAGGGGGAAGGGGTCAGCACAGAGACAAGTGGGTGCCAGCTCAACAGGGAGATGGATGGGTGTCAGCTCATTCATCTTAAGGGAAGGGGAAGGTGTCAAGGCACAGAGACGGGTGATCGCCAACTTGTTTTCCTTAGGGCGAGGGGGAAGGGTCTACAGGGAAACCGGTGGGCGCCAGCTTTTTTTTCTTCCCAAGGGGAGGGGAAGCTGCAACAAATGGGAAAGACAAGTCATCAATCCTGTTAATGCTAGATAAGGGGAATTGCAAAAAAATGGGGGAAAGACAAACTTGTTAACTGTATCACTACTCCCAAATGTTTATAGTTTTAAGCTTCTCTGTTTAATCTGGACAGAGAACTTGAATCAAGTTAGAGAAACTTTTCAAGTGAACTTAATCCTCCAATGCCCCCAAATCCAAATATACAAGAAGCTTACTGGGAATCTTTACTGGTAAAATTTTCCAAGGCTTCCCCTATCACAAGCTTTAAGCTTTGGGTCCTATAAAGTTAGAACCTTTACTGACCCCACAGTGATATTTAAACCTTTTCAGTTTTGTTATTGATATATTTATCCTGAGATGATAGAAATACCTGTGTGTGTGTGTGTGTGTGTGTGTGCAAAATCATACAGATGTATGAGAAGTAGTATCGAATAAGTCTAAGTTTTCAAGTAAAAAAAAGAAAGCTTCTCTGTTTACTGGTAATTCATTGTACAACAATAGATAATCTATACAAGCATTTAAAGTTTTCGTATTTTGTTCATCGTGGATTGTTCATCATGGATTGTTCTTGTTAATTTTGACTTTCGAAAGGATTGCACTAAAATGTTTTTTATCTTGATTATGGAGTTTTTGGTGCCCCTTAAATTCTGCACTTTGAGGCAGGTGCCTCATTTGCCTCATCCTAGTCCCAGCCCTGCTGAGAAATCTTGTTCTCCAAAATAACAGACCATCAGGGGCATTGCTATTGAAACTACATCAGTAAGAATAAAATGCCCACTCTTGCCTGGAGGAGCCAGGTCACTTTGACATAGAAAAGCAGCCTCAATTTTAGCCCAAGTGCAGAGCTTCAGAGATGTGGCATCTGAAGTCAACATGCCACATCTATTTTTACTTCAGTGTTTCTAAATAAAAAAAGACCCTGTATCTACTTCACAGTTCAGATCTGACATTAACTCTTTTGTATACCAACCCGCTTTGCTTTAGGCTAATCAAAGAACCACTTCATTTAAATTTTAACTATGCTCTACTCTTCCCCTAAACCCCTCAGTAATTCCATTTCTTCCTTTGTTTGGTGAGATAAGGATGATTAACCATGCCTGTGTGCCCAAGACTGAGGAGTTTACTGGACAAGGGATAGTCAGTGTTAAAATCAGGAAAGTCCCAGGCAAACTGGAACAGGTTGGTGACCATAGGTCAGATCCCCCACAGTTCCTAGGGTGTGTGGTCTCCCTTGCTGCAGTAAGTTAGTAAAACTATCTCTGTCATACCAGGAACACGACCAGGAGTCATTATCAGAAGGACTTTATCAAAGTAATTAATGTTGGAAGAGTTCACAAAGGTCAAATTTGAAATCAGTCCTAGTATATACTGATGGTGGAAAAACTAACAGGCCTTGGTTCAAACAACAGATCAGAGGGCTATGGGTGGAGAAATAGTTAACTGAAGGCTGAATGCTAAACCAGGCCAGAGACGCATTGGTGATGGAAGAGTTATGAGAACTCTAGTTTAGCGATGGACTAGAGCAATGCTGACAGAGTTGAAAATTGGCCCAGAGGGTAAAAATGTTAACGGACATATATTTTAGATTTTGACGACAACAAAGTCATTGATGGTGGATTGTTTAACAGATGATCAAGTTTGAGGGCCAACCAGATGAGCAGTAGCGGTGGAAGGGTTAATAGACACCAGCAAATTTGAGTTCTCTTCTGGAGACCAAGTCTGAGGGGTTGTCGATAGATGTTGCAGCCGGCCAATGGCTATGTACAAGAGGTGGGATCTGGTTTCTAGTGACCAATGAGATGAAGCAGCAACCAGTTACTAGGGAAAAGCCACGTTGCTAAGTACTAGTAGGAGAGGCAGGGTCTGGCCTGAGTTGCTACTCACAAATAGCCAATGACTGCAAGAAAAGTTGGGCTTCAGTCTCTTCAACCTATGGCAAACTGTTACAGGTAGTAGCCCTCATTACCTTGTGAAGTGAGGCAATTAGCCAATGGCTGCATCTCAGAATCAGGCTCTGGTCTCCCCAGTCATATGAGGCTGCCAGGTCTGTCAATCATCAGTGGTCCCCATTGTCAAATGCAGGGAGGGGGTACAGGTAGCTGCCACAGCTGTGTGAGGGAAGAGGAAGTGGATGGGGGTGAGACCTGAGTTTGCTTTGGCCAGATGGTGCAACTGACTGATGTTCCAAACTGTGTGTGGAATACAGGCGATAGTTTCCTTGGCCAATGAAATGTGACCATCCCTGTTACTACGGAGAAATAACTTTGCTGTTCCAAATTACATCAGTAAGAATGGAAGCTCTCATTCTTGCCTGGAAAATCTAAATCATTTTGACACAGAAAAACAGCCTCAATTGCTAAACCAGGTAGAAGAGGAGCAAGAAACGTAGTACAAGGAGCTGCAGATAGATGACACATTAAAAAAAAGAAACCAGTGAAATTAACTGAATAATACATTTTATTTAAAGTGCATATCCAAAACACATAATCAGTGTTTGAAATTATTAATGAAATATTTGGCATTCTTTTTGTGGTA